TCTTTCCAACCCACCTTACTCTCTCCATCCCAATGATTTTGAGCCACAAACCTTGGTCTTCAGACCCCAATGTCCACTCCCTCATTCTCATCACCCCACAACCTAACCATGATTAATGTCTCTTTCCAGATCTGTCTGCTCTTTCCACTATGCTCTATGGAATGCCTGTTCCATAGTTAAGAAACTTGTTTTCATTTTCAACCATTTTCTTTCTCACTCCTTCCACCTTCTGGCATTTGATGAGACATGGCTCCCTTCTGAGGACCCTATGTCCCTGGCTACCCTAGCCAGCACTGGTTACACTTACACCTATATCCCTCTATCCAGTAGTAGATGAGTTGGAATACTCCTTGCTCCCCTCCATTATCACTTTTAAACAAGCCTTCTACTACCATTTCTTAGTAACTTCTCCTCTTTTGAGGTTCATTTGACCCATATTGATCACCCAATCAAAATTCTGGTAACTGTTATCTACCCTCAGGACAGTCTCCTTCCTATATCAATGATCTCAGTGTCTCTCTCCTCCCCACTTATGGCCCTCATACTAGGGGTCCTCCAACATACATACTGATATATCTTCAAACAGCTTAACTTCCTAGTTCCTTAATTTACTCATTTCCTATGACCACATATCGTCCCCTTAGCTACAGAGATGGTCACATCCTTGATCTTGGAATACTCAGAAGTGGTCCACTTCCACGTTCATGAACTCATAAATTCATTTACCTAATCATAATGTCCTATTTTTGCCTTATAACCCCTAACTCTGTTATTTGAGCTTTCAGTGATATCCAATCCTCCTACCACCCAATTCTTTCCCAGGCCATCAGTACTGTCCTGACAATGTTCTCCACTCTTTCCCATCTCGACCTTTGGTGAAACTGGCCAACTCTGTACTATCTTCTACTCTTAACTCCCATGCCTATCATTGATACTGTCATTGATCTGTCCCTGCCAAAGACCAGCCTTGGATTACTCCCACCATTTACCACCTTCACTCCAACTCACGTGCTTCTCAGCAAAAGCTGGAGAAAAGTAGGAAATGGCTGATGGAGAACACTAAAAATTTATGTTACATAATCCCAACTGGTTCCTTAGTTCACTAAAACAACTCTTTTACATTTCCTTAATTGATTCACTAACTCACTCACCCTTCTTCAAATCTCCCTAACCACCCCCACTCCTCAGTTGAGAATCTTGCCTCATATTTCACTGAAAAATTGAGGCTGTTCACCAAGGGCTCCTGTTCTCCCCTCCTTTCCATCTCATCACTTAGTTGCCTTCTGCCACTATCTTCTCTTTTACTCTTGTCTCACATAAAGAGATGGTCCTACTCCTTATCCAGACAAATCATTCTATATGTACATATTATCCCACTTCATCCCATCTTCTCCAAAAGAATCATCCCCCACTCTCTCACCATCTCTGATCACTTCTCAATTACTGGCTGCTTCCTTGTTTCCACCAACATGCTTATATCTCCCCTATTCTTAAAAAATCCTCATCTCACTTGTCTATTTCCCCTAGCTATCATTCTATTTTGTGACTAAATGTCTTTTTTTTCTTTTTTAATTAATTTTATTTTTAGTTTGGGGAATAAAACAAACATTTCCACAGTATAATAAAAAAAGATGATTGCACATGAAACTGCAAATCTACTGTACACAACTTGCTATTCCTTTTAAATATACAACAAAGTTATCATGTAAATTTCTTTTTTTTTAATTTTTATCAATCACTTCCATACACTTTGGAGCTTTAAATTTTTCTCCCCCTCCCTCCCCAAGACAGTGTGCAATCTGATTTAAGTTCTACATATACATTCCTATTAAACATATTTTGTAACTAAATTTCTTGGGGAAAAAAATATCTACAATCAATGATTCCACTTCCTTTCCTCTCATTCTCTTCTTAATTCTCTGCAGTCTAGCTTCCAACCTCCCCAACTAAAATTGCTCTGTAAAGTTATCAATGATCTCATTTGACAAATCAAATAGCTTTCTCTCAGTTCTCCTCCTTCTTGACCTCTTTGCAGCATGTGACAGTATTAATCATCCTCTTCTCTAGATTTTCTTCCTACCTATTGAACCATTCCTTTGGCATCTCCTTTGCTGCATCTTTTTTTTTTTTGGTTGGGCAATGGGGGTTAAGTGACTTGCCCAGGGTCACACAGCTAGTAAGTGTTATGTGTCTGAGGCTGGATTTGAACTCAGGTCCTCCTGAATCCAGGGCTGGTACTTTATCCACTGTGCCACCTAGCTGCCCCGTCCTTTGCTGGATCTTCATCCAAGTCATGGCTCCCAATTGTGGATATCTTCCAAGATTCTGTTTTTGGCCCTTTTCTCTTTTCTCTCTACACTATTTCACTTGGTGCACACCAGGTCCTATGGATTCAAATATCATTTTTGCTGATGATTTTCAGATTCATTTGCTCCACCCCAAGCTTTCACCTGACTTCCAGTTTCTCATCTCCAACTGTCTACTCAGTAGACTCTACTAGATTCTTAGAACTGGATGCCCCATAGCCATCTTAAATTTCACATATCCAAAATTGAACTCATTATCTTTTCCCTCAAACCCTCCCTCCCCCCCCAACTTTCCTATTAATGTTGAGGGCACTACCATCTTATCAATCACTCAGGCTCCTAATCTATATGTCATACTTGACTCTTCTCTCTCTCTTATCCCCCATATTCAATCTGTGGTCAAGTATTGCTGATTTTACTCTTGTAAAACTCTTGCATATGCTCCCTTCTCTAACACAGCAATCACCCTAATATGTGCCCTCATCACCTTATGCCTGGACCACTGCAATAGCTTCCTGGTTGGTCCCCCTGCCTCAAGTCACTCCCTACTACAGGCCATCCTACACTCGGCTATCAAAATGAACTTCCTAAAGCAAAAGCTTGGCCATGTCAACATGGGCCAGCTACCCCCACTCCCACCCCCATCTCCAGTAACTCCCTATTACCTCCAGAATCAAATATAAAATCGTCTGTTTGGCTTTTAAATCCCTTCATAACCTGGCTTTTTCCTACCTTCCTAATCTTCTTTTGTTTGTTTTTGTTTTTAGGAAGTTGGGGTTAAGTGACTTGCCCAAGGTCACACAGCTAGTAAGTGTCAAGTGCTTGGTCTGAGGCCGGATTTGAACTCAGGTCCTCCTGACTTCAGGGCCAGTGCTCTATCCACTGAGCCACCTAGCTGCCCCCTTTTCCTAATCTTCTTATACTTTTCTTCCATCCACATACTCTACATGCCAGTGACCCTTGGATTCTTTACTCTTCCTTGAAGAAGACATCTCATCTCCTGGCTCCATGTGTTCTATGACTATCCCCCATACCTGGAATTCTCTCCAGTCTTGCCTCTGCTTCCTGCCTTTCACAAAGTCTTGGCTGAAATTCTAACTTCTGCAAGAAGGCTTCATCTAATGCCAGTACTTTCTGTCCAAGGTTATCTCTGATGCCTCCTGGATATATTATATTTGTACATGGTTGTTTGAATGCTGTCTCCTCCATTTGACTATTAGCTATTTGAGAGTATGCACTGTATTTGCCTTTCTTTATATTCTTTGCATTTAACATAGTATCTAGCACATAGTAGGAATTTAATAAATTTTTTTTACTGACTTTGCACAGGCTGTCCCCTGTGCTTGGAATATATTTCCTCTCCACGTTAAACTGTTAAAATCTCTGTTTCCTTTCAAGACTCAGCTCATGCAACACCTTCTGCAGGCACTTTTCCTAATCTTATGGAAACTTTTTTTTTTAACACTTTTCCTAATTTTCTGAGTTGTTAGGGGTCCCTCCCTCCTAAAATTATCATGTTATATACTTATCTGTTCACATGTTGTATGTTTCCAATAGCATGTAAGCTCTTTGAGGTCAGGGGCTGTTTGGGGTTTTGTTGTTGCCTTTACATCCCTTGATCCCAACAACAGGCCCTTTATAAAGGTTCATTAGATTGGGGGTGGGGTGGGGTGAGGAATGAATCCGTTGGCAAGCAGCAGCTCAACAACACCATTCTAAAGTGTAGATGGATTGCAATCTGCATAGGTAGATGGAGGTACAGGGGTGGATGAAAGTACAGGACTTCAAGGCATTGAGACGCTATAGTCCCAGACCCTGATGAGGTTCCTGGAAATTTGGCTTGGGTTGCAACTCTTCGCAGTCATTATTCTTAATAATAAATGTGGCCAGCAGGGGTCACTACAAAACAAGGCCAAAGCTTTCCTTCCTTCACAGAATCCACACCGTGCAAGAACAAACACAGCAGGCATAAGGAGCCTTCAGAGCCTTGTTGCTCCCCACCCCCCTAAATATACTAGGTCTCTCTCCTGAAATACAGACTGTTTCTAAATGTGGCCTGCATGTTCTCTTCCCCATCCTGGAGAACAGACCAGGAAGTGAGCCAATGACTAAACTTGGGGTTTCTGGGGGTAGAGAGGGATTTCAGTGGGTAGGTAAGATTGCAAAGCCTTCTGAGAGGAGGATTTGCCTGAAGTAATTGCCTTCTTTTTGTATTCCAGCCCACGGTTCTGCGGAAATGGAATCTGAAGACTGGATTCACTTGACAAATATGAAAAGTATGAATAATACGGGAAGATTTGTCCAAAGTAATAGAGAGGGAATAAAAGCAAACCCCGGACAACGTAGACACTGACCACAACAATGTAAATTACAACAGCAACGATGATAACAAAAGTAATAAAAAAATCTGAAAGCAAATCACACAGAAGAAGAGGTCAGAAAGGGCCGTGGAAGCAGAGTGGTCTCATAATTATTTCAAGTTGATAAACTTTTGAAAAACACAGATTGGGAAGAAAGAGGAAAAAAGAGGAGGGAAGTACAGGAAGAGAGAGAAAAAGAAGAGGAGAAGAGAGGGAAAGGAGGGAGAAAAGAGGAGGAGGGAGGGAGGCAGGGGGAGGGAAGGGGGGAAGGGAGAGACAGAGAGAGGGATAGGGAGGAAGGAAGGGAGGGAGTGGAGAATCTCAGATTACTTACTTATTTTGCAGGGTGGAATCACTTCTAAGCATTCTTTATGTGCCCCAACCCCACATTTAGTGCAAAGATAGCCTTGATAGAAAGTCCCCCTGAACAAGCAAATGGAGAAAAAAGGGAAGGAAAAAAAAATGAGACTTTGCCTTTGCCTCTGGGTTTTGCTTAGAAATCTTCTGCAAGGTTTTCCCTCGCCTGCAAGGATCAAGTCCAAACTCCTCAATCTGGCATTATACAAGACCTTCTACAATTTGACTGCAATCGAGTTCTTCAACAACTATCTCCCATTGTTCCCCAAACTAGCTGAGCAAGTCAACTTATCTGAGCCTCAGTTTCCTCATCTGTAAAATGAAGGGGTTTGGATAAGTTGACCTCTAAGATCCCTTCTTGCTCTAAACCTGTGATCCTATCCATAAATGATCCTTCCATAAACTTGGCTCCAGCCAAGCAGGTCTACTTACTGGCCTCAACCACACCCACCCACTCCCAAATGCTATTTCCATTCCCAGCCTTGTATCTTGGCTCCTGGTTGTGTTTCTATAGGGAATACAGCCCTCCTCCTTCTTCCTTTCTGCCTGTCTAAATTCTACCCCTCCATCAGAGCCCAGCTCTGGATCCTTGAGGTCAGGGCTGGCAGAGTTATGAGCACACAGTGGATTCTCAATAAATATCTCCCAAATGAATGGATGCATTTATTTTTAAACTAACCCTATAGCAGTCCAGACAGTGTGTTAACTCAAGTACACACACCCTCAGGGTGGAGAATTTAAAATTTGGCATCATTACCATGAAGAAATGTTTCCTTTCAAAAAACCAATTTTTTTTTTAAAGCCTATAGAAGATGAGCAAGGAACAATTTTGCATGAAGGTAACTTTAAGTAGAGGAGTGACTCCACTTTGCAAAGTCTTCTACTGGGAAATTTTCATGGTGGAGCTGAGCTGTAGTACAGTGGGAGGTGTACTGGATTTATATTCAGAGATTGGTGTTGTTCAGTCAAGTCCAATTCTCCATGCTCCCATTTTAGGGTTTTGTTGGCAAAGATACTGGAGTGGTTTGCCCTTTCCTTCTGCAGCTCATTTTATAGACGAGGAACTGGGTAAACAGGGTTGAGTGACTTTCCCAGGGTCACACAGCTAGTAACTATCTGAGGCCAGATTGGAATTCACGAAGGTGAATCTTCCTGACTCCCGGCCCAGTGCTCTATCTATTGCACCACCTAGATTCAGAGAGCCTGAGTTCAAATCCTGACTCTGCTATTTATCTCATTTGGCAAGTCTCCTAACCTCTCTGGGTACCAGTTTTTCATTTGTTGAAAGGAAGGAGTTGGGATAAGTGAACTCTAAGGTCTCTTCTAGCTGTAAATATGTGAGTTTTCATTTCCCCCCAAATCATCCTAGTGAATTATACACTCCTCTCTGATGGTCCAGAGCAAAAAGGCTAAAGAAATATGGAGGCGCACTGCTGCTCTGCTGGGCCAAGGCAAGGACGTGGCAGGTGTGGGGGGAATCTAGCAGATGTGGGGCTCCTCTCACCTTAAGAACATCTTGCATGCTTTACAATTGGTTGTCTTGTCAAACGTGTACATCTGGAAGTTGTGATGGTTTGCGTTGGCCTTCTCTGGTTTAATGTTCGACCTGACAAAAGGGAAAAGAACAGAGGCCACACTGAGTGATACCCTGCCCCCCACTTCCTCAGGCCTGGGGTCATTCCTGCCTCTTGGGGCTTTTTGAGCTCCTCGACCTCTAAAAGACCCAGGGAATGAAGCAATTATAGACGCAGAACTGGAAAACATCTTAAAGACCATCCTATCCTGTGTCGTCATTTTTTTTTTAATAGATAAAAACACTGAGACTCCAAAGGGTTACACGGCTTGCCCAAGGTCACACAGACAGAAAGTAGCAGAGCCCAGATTCCAATCCAGTTGCTTCTCTGGCTCCAAATCCCTCACACTTCCTCCTGCACCCCGTGGCCCCCAGTGGGGTCAAGACATGTTTCTGTGCAGTGGAAAAAGCTTGAGGCTGGTTGTCAGGTGACTGGGGTTCTCATCCCAGGTCTACCACTAACTTTGTGTGACATTGGGCCAGTTACCTCCCCCCTCTAGTTTCCCTGTCTGCAAAATGAAAGGTAAGCTAGATGTGCTTTAAGACCCCCTTCTAGTTCTAAGATCCTGTGTTCTCTAAGATCCCAGTCCTAAAAGCCTTAGAGTTCACTATGACAGCATTTCCGCCCCCTTGTTCATCAAATATGCACAGATTTACTGAAGTTACAGAAAAGGGGATTTTGGCTAGACAATAATGGCTGCTAAAATAACATCTTTATTTGAAACCCCCCCCCCAAAACCTGTGGTAGATAGAGATCCTAGAAGAATTATCATCCCCTGTGGAGTTTGTTTTACAAGTGTCTGACTCTCAGAGATGGTCTCTTCAGGAGATCCCTTACGCAGACATTCTGCTTTCAAAATAATTTAAGGCCACCTTCAGAACCCTGTCTCCTCCTGCTCTCCATTGCCCTGAACCCTCTCAACCCCACACACCACTCAGCATGTTGAAATGGGAGGGGCCAATGCATTCTGTGCTGGGACATTCTGACTAGGACACTGGCAGGAACCCCCCTCGGGGACAGCTGACCCTCCTGGTGCTCACATTGCCATTTCAAACTGCTCCATCCATTTTCTTTTCATGTCTTCGGTCTTGCAGAAAAACTGGAAGCCCTGCTTTCCTTGTAGGTGAATTAAGTAGAACCCATAAGACCACTGCAATGGTAAACAAGAAATGGTTTCTTCTTTCAGCTGAGTATGAAGTAGGGTTTTTTTCCCTTCTTTTTAAACTTATGTTCTTTTCTCTAGACACCAACATAATGAGGTGCTCTGGTAGTCCCTGCCCTCCCCACAGCTATCCCCCTAGCCCCCACCTTGGAGGAAACTCCTTGGTACCAGCAAGGGCTTCAACTCAAAATACTCCTTATCAGATACAGGTTGGCTAGAACCAAGAAGAGGCATGGCATCTCTCCCCTTTCACTCATCCTCACTGGGCTGAACTTCCAGGAACAAGCTGTGACCAAAGCCAAAAGAGCACTGGATTCTTTTTCATCTCACCTATTTTCATTTCCCAGATGTGGAACCCAAAATATCACTGTTCTTTGAGACCAAAAATGAATAAGAAAGACTACCTGAGGTCAGGACTACCCTACTGCAGGTGGCGAAGTCAGGACCAGCCTCACTGTTTAAAATATTGCCCTGCTTCTGTCTATGTACACACCACTATCCCAAATCTTAGGCTCAGTCAAGAAATGCAGTCTGAAACCCCTGCTTTTTCCCAGAACTCCTGTGGAAAAGAGAATTTTTAAGCATACCTTAATAGGGAAATCCCTCCCCACTACAACCCCCACCCCTTCACTTCCCCCACCCCCACACTCACACACCCCTCTCCACCATTAAGTCACGATTGTGGCACCCTGGGAACATACAAACAGCCAAAGGGGAACACTAACCAGGGTCCCCAAGAGTCAGGGATAGTGGAGAGAGGTGTAGGGTTGATTGCTTACCATTTTCCCATGTGACTAGAAAGCATTAAGAAGAGGAAAAGTGGAGGGAAGAAGGTTATTACAAGATAAAGCCCAGATTACCCATATTTCCTGCAAAGCCCCAAGTCATTGCATATTCTTATGTTTAAGGACTGGTGGGCTCTGCAGTTACAGGGATGGAGGATCTGGGAGAAGCCAGAGCCAGGCCCTGTCCCCTAGACTTTATATGGCACAGACAGGATAAGGGGTTGTGCAAAGATTCTTTCCAGTTCTAAAATGTAAAAAACAATTATGTCCATGCTGTAGCACTTAAATTAGAGGTAGCAGGGCAAAGCAGAAAGATCTCTGGACCTAGAATCTTGAAAGAACTTAGTAGCTTAGTAGCTGGGTAAGTTCTCTGAGCCTGTTTCCTCATCTGTAAAGGGAGGATAATGATAAACTGGGTAGGTCCTCTAAAGAACCACTGTGAAGAAAGTATTTAGTATGTCTGAAAGGGGTATGAAAATATCAATGATTGCTACTGGCAGCTCAGTGAGCAACAGCACCATGCCAAGGGTGTAGAGGCAGTGACTAAAGGAGAGAAAGAAAAAGGGAAGCAGAATGTGCACGTTCTCTTTCCATTAGGGAAAGAAAGAAGAGAAAAAAAGTTGTATGGCTTCCCCCCCCAATGCCCCCTCCCCCTTCCCCCTATTCCATCCCACTGTAGGCAACAAAATCTACAAAGCAAAGAACAGAAGGGGCTGATTCCAGCTTGGTCCTACCTGGTGCTTAAAAGTACACTCAATGAAGACTACCTGCTACCTTCTCTCAAAGTAGTCCCCTTTGTTTCTTCATGAAAGAAATAGGTAAAAGTGAGTCACTGATTCTAATCACTTACTAGACTGTTCAGGAGTATTAGCCAATACTCCAAACCCTTGACTTAAGCTGCCCCAAGAAGACTGAGATTCAGAACACCTGGGGTCTAATCTTGACTTTGCTACTAACTAGCTATGTAGACTTTCCACTCTCTTGGCCTGAGTTTTTCTCATTTGTAAAATGAGGGGGTTGGGTTTGAGGTCCTTTAAACATCTTGCCAGCTTCAAAATATTGCAGTTTATGATTCCAGGGGCCTGGGGAGGGGGATGAAGAAGGGGGAGTCAAAAGACAAATAAGGGATGCCCACGTGGATAAAGGGCACCTGCCTACCTTCTTGATGTCTTTATTGTTCATTGGATCATCTGTCATTTTGTGAAAGAGCAGTTCGATAATCTCCTTCAGCTCATAATTGTAGCCTTTCCTCTTACAGACAATCACCACTTTATCAAACAAAAATAAATACCTGCCTCAATGAGATTTAAAAGAGGAAAATCAGTGAGGTTTCCATTCTGAAGATTCAATTTAATTCATAAAAGTAAGTGTCTTGATTGATAAACCAAGCAAACATCATTTAATTATTAAGTGCCTACTACGGACTAGGCACTGCAGATATAAAGACAAAAATTACAATAGCTCCTGTACTCTAGGAGCTTACTTTCCTTGGGGGGAGACAACATGTATACATATAGGCATATAGACAAATATATACAAAATAAATACAAGGTAATTGAAGAAGGATGGGGAAGGCATTAGCAACTGGGGAGATCAAAAAGACTTCGTGGAGAGAGGGATGTGAACTAAGATTTGAAGGAAACTAGTCATCCTAAGAGGTAGAGGTGATGAGAGAGTGTGTTCTAAGCATGGAGGATAGCCAATGAAAAGGTACAGATGAGAGATGCAGTGTCTTGTGTGAGAAGCTGCAAAAGAGATCAGAGTGCCTGGACCATAGAGTACAGGAAGGGGGCTAATTTATAATAAAGCTAAAAAAGTAGGTTGGGGCTAAGTTGTAAAGGGCTTTAAATGTCAAACAGAAGAATTTCTATTTGATCCTGGAGGTGATAGGGAGGCTCTGTAGTTTACTGAGTAGGGGAGTGATAGGATCAGACCTGCAATTTAGGAAAAGTTTGGCAGCTGTGTGGAGATGGCCTAGAGAGGGGAAGAAGTCAGGGAGATCAAAGAGGAGACAATAGCCTAGATGAAAGGTGATGTGCAGGACTCTGTGCTGGGGGCAAGGGACATGAAGATGATGAAAAATAGTCCTTATGCTCTAGAAGCTTAAACACCAGTGGGGAGATGCCAGTTTACAGAGAAGTGAATACAAGGTGGTTTGAGGAAGAAGAGAGAACAGCTAGGGCAGAGTGGGGAGGAGTCAGGGAAGCCTTCTTGGAGACTTCTCAGCCTTGATGGAAGCTAAGGATTCTAAGAGGCAGAGGTGAGAAAGAAGGGCCTTTTAGGCATGGAAGATAGCCGATATGCAGTAAGGAAGAGGGAATGCCAAGCTTTGGGAACAGCAGGCAGGCTAGTTTGACCAGAACATGGAGTCATGTGAAATAAATGGTGTCATTCAAATATAAAAATAGAGGCTAGGATCTATCTGAAGGAGAGAAGAAAGCATGTCAAAATGTTCACAGCTCTTTTGGTAGTGACAAAGAACTAGAGGGGTACCTATCGATTGGAGAATGGATGAACAAATAATGGAATGAGAATGTAAAGAAATGATTAAGGGATAAGTTCAGAGAAAGACTTGTATGAACTGATACAGAGCGAGGTGAGCAGAATCAGGAGAATGTTTTACCCAATAACAACAACATCATAAGGACAAAACAACTTGAAAGACTCAAGAATTCTGATCAACACAATGACGAACCACAATTCCAGAGGACTTGTGATGAAACATCCTGCCCACCTTCTGACACAAATGATGGACTTAGGATGCAGACTGAGGCGTATACACATTTTTTGTACATGACCAAAGTGGAAATTTGAAAAAATGAAAGTAAACACTAAAGAAAAAACATAATAACATTGTAAAGACAGAGACCTTCAAAGACTTAAGAACTCTGATCAATGCAATGGCCAACTGACTCCTGAGGACCAATGAGGAAGCATGCTACTCACTTCTTGACTAAAAGATCAGAAGATGAACTTAAGATGCAGAATGAAACATACGTTCTTGCGTTTGGCCGATGTGGGAATTTGTTTGGCTTAACTGTGTCTATTTGTTACAAGGATTTTATTCGTCTTTTCTTTTCTTTTTTCCTCAATAGAAGTGGGGGAGGTCGGTAAATTGGAAAAAGAATTAGTAACAGAATCCTAGCTGAGGCTGACTAATACAACATTTAAAGACTTAAAAACTGGGAGTTCCAACAGTCCTGATTCAGATTGATAACTAAGTCACTCCCTGTCACTACCAATCATTTAACTCTTAGCACAGACTGTGTTGTGAGTTATCATTTCATGTATAATATAGTGGAAAGAATACTAGTTTTGGAGTCAGGAAAGACCTGAGCTCAAATTCTACTTCTGGCATTTATTACTTGTGTGATCTTGTCACTAAAAAATTATCTAAGCCTCAGTTTCCACATCAGCAAAAAGGGGGCTGTGGCCCTGATAGAACTGATTTCAGTGTTGTGAGGCTCTAATGAGATAATTTATGTAAAGTGTTTTCCAACCATAAGGCTATATGCCTTGTCTGTTGTTACTACTGTCTCCCAGACCAGCTGGAGTCCTTCCCTGAGAGGAGAACTATATGACTATATGTCTTACTGATTTTACTATTCTCCATAAAGGATAATAGGTGTGCAGACAATATGTGTTGGTTGCTTGATTGACTGAACATGAACAATAGTCACTCTTTTTTGGATTAGGGGGCTTTGTTTGTTTGTTTGTTTTCTTTAAACACTACAAGAGCTTGGGAGGTAGAGTAATTTGGCGGGAAATGGCTTAAATTCTCAGACTCACTTTTGTATTTACACTATCTACTTCACAGTGATGTATGTGTAGATAATTATTCATTTGACAGCCATTTATTAGGCGCCTGTGTGCAGATCACTGTGTTTGGAGCTACACAGAGAAATTAAGAGATGCTGTAAAGCCTTTGATGGAGATTGCAAAGTAATAGGGATAGGCATCATTCAGTGTCTAGCTCTAAGGGGATCCTATTGGCTCCCTCTCATCCGTGCCCCTCGTACCTTTCCCTCGTCCCAGTGGTGAACTCACCTATCTTGTTTGGTATGGTTTACAATGGATCGAACTTTTAATTCCCCATCAATTTTTGGCCTCCCAAATTCTTCCAGTTTGACTTGCTGGGAAAGAAAAGAAAACAACATGAGCCTCATAGTGGTACTCACTCTTTTTGTTTCCTAGAATCCCATCTCAGAAAGGATGAAGAATTGAAAATTTCCCAAGTAGGAAAGGTTTCAAGGGAAAGTGGCTGACAAAGAAGATCCTATGAAGGGATATATGAAGAGAAAGGCAGTAGAGCCTTTATCTTCTCCTTTGAGGATGCGGCTCCTATCTCATATTGCTTCACGTAGCTCTAAAAGCTCATCCAAACCTAGAGAGTTCTTAGGCAGAGCAGAGCTGTGGATGGGGCATTAATAACCCACGTGGCTTACAATTTCAGGATACAGCAACAGATCAGATTACCCATCAGCCTCCAGTGTAGTGGTGTGTCCAAATAACGTGAAATATTTCCACCTCTGCCTGAGTCTTCTACCAACGCGTGTTTTCTAAAGGCACTTGTCAGCACTGAGCAGGACAACAAATAGCCTTGTATATCATATGACATCTCACTGCTGTGGGGAACACTGGATGTATACGCAGTATAAAATTGCCCAGCTTCCAACACAACAAAACAAAATCAAATCAAAAACAGATACTTTGCGTCACACAGATTTGGGAGGGAAAAGGAGGTGGATACGAGAGCTGGGCTAGCATTAAACCTTCCACAGAGACTGTCTTCTTTCGTCCAAAGTGAAAACAGTCACAGCAAAAACATCCTCCCTAATCTCCAGCTGACATTTACATTTTCACCAAAGTCATAGCTGTCACTGTCAGTGCTTTGGTTCCAAGGACGCTTTGTAGGTGATTGAAAAGCCATTCACACTTACCAAGTTTTCTATAGAACTCTGAAATTCACTGATTTTCTTTAAGGTTTCTTTGTCCCGTTTGACTTCATTTATGTACATCGCCAAGTCCTTCAAAATGGTAAATAGTGGTGTTAGTTGGCATGCTCTGGGTATGTTGAGAAAAAAAAATAAACCCCTGACAATATGTCATAATGATGGTGTCTTTAGCTCTGCAATGAGCAAGCTTGTGAGGCAGGTAGAACAGGGACCATTATCCCCAAATTATTAAGGAAGAGACTGAAGTAGAGAAGTGAAGCAATTGGTTGAGGTCACGTTGCTAGTTCACAACATCACAGATTCAAAGGAAGATGAAGGGACCACAGAGGTCAGCTAGTCCGGTGTCCAACTCAAATAGAAATAGATCCCTGCATCCTTGTGGGCCACATATTAACTTAGAAAATCACAAATTAACATTAATTATGTTGTACTGTATTTTTAATTTATTTTGTTAAACATTTCCAATTACTTTTAAATCTGGTTCAGTAGGTTGTGAATTTATCACCTCTGACCCGTCCGACCTGCTTTTTACCCTCTTCCTCTGCCTCTTCTTCCTTCTCCCCATCATATTACCCAGCCCTGTGATTTCAGAAGTTGAGGGAACTCCTGGTTAGGAATTCTCTTTGCAAATAGAGATTGGCATCTTTTTTTTTAAACCAATTTATAACCTTAAAGTGTCATCTGGAAGAATAATAATAGCTATCACTTAAATATTTGCATATATAGCAAAATCTTTATGAATGTTAGCTTATTTGATCCTCAGACAATCCTGTGGGGTAGATTAGATGCTATTATTACTACCTCCATTTTACAGGTGAGGGAATGGAGGCTAAGACAGGTTAAGCGACTTTCCAGGGTCACATACTTAGTAAGTGTCTGAGGCTCTTCTTAACTCTAAGAGGTTAAGAAGTGACTTACCCAAGATTACATAGGCAGCAAGGGACAGAGTCAGGATTTGAACTTTCATCTTTTGATTCCAAACCTAGCACCCCTTCCCCTGAACTAAACTGAGTTTAGAGTCTCCTGACAAGATCCAGGGCTCTTCCCACTGTACAAATTCTCACAAAATTTTAAATCAATTCAACTTAACAGAAACTTATTAACTACTTACTATGTATGTGCAAGGCAAAACTGGGGGGAGGGGAACTTTTGCTTATTAAAACAAAATACTGCAAAATTAACACCAAGATTGATCAGATTCTTAAAAGGATATGTGTGCATGTGGGAGGTAGAGGGAAGCATTTATAAGTAGCAGAGGACCTAGATAAACTTTCTTGAATGGCTGTGTCTGACCTTGGGCAAGATAATGAACCTTAAGGGATTTGAATTTTCCCAAGTCACTCCAGGGCATACCCCAGGCACTGAATTTAATTTGATAATCAGCAGGACCTCGTCCAAATGACCAGTAAATTATAATTTCCTTGAGAGTAGAGTCCATGCTATCTCCTCTGTGTGTATTCTCAGCAACAAACACCAAGGCCTTGTACCAAGCAGGGAATTAAACAAGTTTTTGTTGAATTAAACCACATCCAAAAGTATGATACAGATGCAGGTCTCCTGGTTGACACTAGAGGGCACTGTGACCAACCAAGAATTTAGATTCTACATTCTTTCCTGGAAAGTTTGCAGAGTGGACCCACAGGATTTTCGTTCAGCTAGAGACAAGCTGGGCATACAACCAATTCCATCTAATTTCATTCTCTGGAGAAGGCAGCAAGCGCCTGAGTGTAAAATCCGTAAGGCAACATTGCTTATCCTGGTAGGCAATTGTCAGAACTCCCAGAAAAGTAACCAAATGGAAAAATAGCCAACTGAGTATCCTGGGGGTGGGAACTAGCTAATCCCACCACTTACTGCACCAGGGATCTGTCTTGCCTGTTCAGGTTTCTGAGCAGAACTTCTAGTACACCAAGATAGCTTATAATATATGGACCTTATTAAACCACACAGAAGAAATATTCTATAAGAGAGCTGTGAATTTTGGTACAGTGGAAAGAACACTACTAACCTTGGACTCAGAGGACCTGTGTTAAAATCCCAGCTCTATCTCCTACTGCCTATGTTAATCTTGGACAAGTTACTTAACCTCTCCGGGTCTTTTTCCTCATTTACAAAATGAAGAGATTGGACTATATGACCTCTAAGGTATCTCTTTATTCTAAATCTATGATCCTATAGATTGTATTTTCTCCAGGTTTTCATTTTAAAGTCAGAGAAGAAGCCCTAATGATAGGCTAAGGTTTAGCAATGGAAGAGAGCCTAGAAACTAGATGGTTTATAAGGTAAGGGAGGGCCTAATTTGCTGGCAGTTCAAGTAAGGAAGATACGGAAGTATTGGTATAAGTCAACAAAGTGAAACAGCTGCTAAAAAAGCTAACACTATCTTAGACTGAATTAATACAAGTCTAATGTTCAGATCAGGACAGCTAGATAGTGCAATGGATAGAGTGCCAGACCCGGAGTCAGGAAGACCTGAGTTCGAATCAGGCCTCAGACACACTTAGTTGTGTGACCCCGGGCCAGTCGCTTAACCCCGACTGCCTCAGTTTCCTCATATATAAAATGAGATGAAGAAGGAAATGGCAAATCACTCCAGTATCGCTAAGAAAACCCCAAAATGTGGTCACAAAGAGCAGGCATGACTGAAAACAACTCAACAACAACAACGTTCAGGTCAATGGAGGTGACAGGCATCCATTCAGTAACCGTGTGTTAAATGTTTGTGTATGAAGCACAGCACTAGGCACTAGGAGTGAGATACAAAATAAGCAAGACACAGTCTCAGCCTTCATGAAACTCAGTCTAGCAGGGGAACAAAACACAAATACAGATCTTTGCAAGTTGGTCCTAATGCCCTCTTAATCCCCTATAATTATTAAGTCCCTCGAGGGTGGGACTCACGTTTTGTCTTTCTTTGTGGCCTCAGTGCTTAGCACAGATGCTGGCATACAACATACCTTTAATAAATACTTGTTGACAGATGAATAGCTGTGATACACAATATTACACATTAAGCGCACCTGAGAAGGATGCAAAGGGAAGTGCCATGTGAATGCCCAGTGATTTGGCCACATCTGGGGAACTGTGCTCAATTATGGAAGACAAGTTCTCTTTTCTTTTTTTTTTTTGGAGGCAATTGGAGTTAAGTGACTTGCCCAAGGTCACACAGCTAATAAGTGTCTGAAGCCACATTTGAACTCAGGTCCTCCTGATTCCCCGGCCAATACTCTCTCCACCATGCCACCTAACTGCCCCAGGAAGACAACTTTTCCAAAGAACCACTGACAGACTGGACCAACTCCAGGAGGACCAACCAGGGTGAAGAAAGGTCAGGTAACCTTGGAGAGAGTGCTAGACTTGGAGCCAGGAAGGCCAGGTTCAAATCCTACTTTTGACACTTGATTGATGTGACCCTAAGTTAGTCAATTAACATTTTGGAACCTCAGTTTCCTCCTCAGTACAACAAGGAAGGTGGGCTAGACAGAATCTAAGGTCCATCCCTGCCCTAGGTCTATGATCTTACAGCCTCACAGACAAAAGTTGGAAGAACTGGGGGTGTTGAGTCTGAAGAAGCAAAGGCTTTGGAGAACAATTAGCATCCTCAGATATCTAAAGTGTTGCCTCATAGGGAAAAGAGTTAAATTTAGAAGAACTGCAGAAGTTTCCTAAGCAGGTAGGGGTTGTGCTAGATAACCTCTATCATCATCACCCCTTCCTTTGCCGTGACTGTGTGATTCTGCCCCACGGGATAAATGAGGGTGAATGGATTGGGGTCAGAAGGAAGCAGACTGCCACTCAAAATAAGGAAGAGATAGTTCATCAAACCACCTCTATGTAAAGTGACTTCTGGTGCACTGGAAAGAGTGATGAACTTGGAGCTGTGGCATCTGAGGTCAAATCTCACACAACTGGAGTGGTCCAAAGGCAGGACTGGTGCCCCAGGTCGCTCCATTTGTTCGATTGTGGGCTGCGTGGCTACCTATCAGGGATGCCCTAGAGGGGAATTCTTGTGAGGCTGGACAAGATGACCCCAAGGTCCCTTCCAATAGTGCAGTTCCATGACTTATACTGCCACGGTATCATAATCAGAATCCTTATTGTCTCTCTATCACACTGAAAACACACACACACACACACACACACACGACCTCTTCTCCAAAGCCTTTAATTTTTATTTTTTTTTAAATAATGGATTCAACTTGAATCTCCCTTCACAGCCTAGAGGCCCCTGAACTTGTCTGAACAAAGGGGAAGCTCTTAGCTGAGACTGTAAAGTGTCGGATAAAGCCATAACATCTTTCAGACAACATTCACTTAAAGGACTCCAAACATCTCTCTCTCCTAGCTAAAGGGCTGAAGCTTCTAAAAGGTCGGGCAGCAGTCAGGTGCTCCTATGAATCAAAATTAAGTCTTTTACAGGAGGTTCTATAGAAACAGAGGGAAGGGGGAAAAACACATCCAGGGGTCAGACCTGCCTGTCAAGAAAAAGTATTTCTGCAAAGACAGGGTTTCAGATACCGAAGCTGATTTCAGTTCCACTGATGAACTTCAGGCTAAAGGGGTGTCAGGGAGGAGGAGAGTAACAAACGTGATTCTCTGCTCTGTGAACTAAACCACTTATCAGTCATCTCTGGGATTGACTGACAATGATGAGAAACCTGGGCCCAAGAGGGCTAGTGTGTGATCCCCTGTTCCTGATCAGGACAAACCTTCCTGCTTAGACCTTACACTACACTTTGTTGTGTAGTTCTCTAATAAAATCATTATTTATTATTAGGTGGAAAAACTTGCTAGGTTTGGGGTCTGGAGATCTGGGTTCAAGTTCTGGTTCTTGCACCTAATAACTGTGCAAATGTGGAGAAATCACTTCATCTCTGTAAGAGACGCTCAATTTCCTCATCTATAAAATGCTCATACAACCCTTTCACAGGGAGAATGTGAGGTAAGCATTTTATATAGCCTAGAGTGACACAGAATTGTAAATGAATGAATACAGAGGAAAGGGCACTGAATATGGAGGCCAAGGATGTGGGTTCAAATCCTACCTCTGGTGCACTAGATGTAAGACCTTGCAAAATGGATTATAATATCAATAATATCTGGCATTTATATAGCACTTTAAAGCTTTCAAAGAATTTTATATAATCTCACTTGATAACTCCTATCTATAATCTATACACATACACACCCCCATACAGAGTGCAGATCTGTTATTTCACCTGTGGGAGGCACATGTGGTGAGGAAAGATCTTCTCCTGATTCACATCAGTGACTTATCACTTCTCATCTTAGAGAGTTGCCTGGGGATGGGGGTGGGGGTTCCACACTGAGAGGTTGGTCACATGGCCAGGGTGTTTGAGAAGCATAGACCTAGACCTGAACCTGGGTCTTCCTGAATCAAGGCCCACTCTCTATCCACTAGACCACACTACCTCTCCTGTATCATAGAGCATGCTCACACACACACACAATTTGTTACATGTATTGGTGTCTCATTCCTCTACCAGTCTTATTCCATAAATACAGAGATTACAGTTTATCTTATCACCCCTAAACCTCTCAGCTCGCACATTACTGCAGGTTTTGAATAAATAAATGATGACGGTGGTGGTATGTTTATGTGTAGGTATATGTAGGGTGTGTGTGCGTGTGTATGTGTGTGTGTGTATGTGTTTGTATATACATGTGTGTACGCGTGTGTTGGGGAGAGAGCAAGGGAAGTTAGAGGATTTCTCCTGGAGGTGGATTCTCTGTCTACCTGCTGCTTCTCACGAAGCACTTTCCTTGTTACACTACATTGAGCTCCAGATAATATGATACCCCAGGCTTCCAAGAGCCACTTTGCAGTGACAGGGAAGCTGACTTCACCACAAGCTCACTATATATAATGCACTATGCTATAGGTCCTGCCTTCTCTGTGAGAATGTCTTAACAACAAGACCTGTTTTCTTGCTGAGTAACTGCAACCCCCAGTATGGAATCCAACACAGACTCCTTTGGTTCGTAAATCTACTGACTAGAGAGAAAATGGTTCTAATGCAGGGTTTTTTAACCTCTTTTTGACACCCCCCCACGAAGGGTCATTTGATAGATTTTACGGGGTCCTTGGACATGGAAGGGAAAGAAATTTCACCTCTATTTTTACCAACCTTTGGTTTCCTTGGCAATCCTACATATTTCATTTAATGCATTCAAAAATACTTTTCTGAGAAGGAATCCATAGGCTTTACCAGACTTCAAAAAGTTGCAGGCACAACACACAAAAAAGGTTAAGAACCCGAACCCCGTTCTAAGGGTAGCCTTGCTCTGACTGCTGGTGTTCCTTATGACTTCTCAATAGACACTTGGCTCCCATCCTAATTAACCCAGCTACCTGCATGGCCTCCAGTGCTTCCTTGAGCTGCTGCCTCTCAGGACGATCTGCAGAGTGGCTGAGGAGTTCCTAAAAGGGTTGAGGAAGTGTTATTAATGCCCTGTTTCACACGCCACTGTCCATACCACAATTCTAGAATGTTGCACTGCATGGCTCTAGTGACAGGACTTCCCACCTATCCACCAACCTAGAAGCATACTTCAGCTTGACAGATTAGCTCCTAGCAGGCAAATCAAAAGCATTTGATTATAAACTGAACTTTTTGCATATTTCCCAAATCTTGTGTCATTTGATCCAGAGCAGAGCCCCAAATGAGGCAATATATCGCATGCCAAGCTGACAAATGCACGATGACTTTGCTATAAGTCACTCACACTGTGTGATGTATCTGCCAGGTAGTCTCCATTCTCAGGGTCCTTTGGGGGCCAGTCTCAGTAGAAGGTCTGTCGTTGAGGGGCACTTACCTTCAGGAGGAGGTGATATTTCAGAACCCGTTGCATTGGCACCACTAGCAGATCTTGCAATTTAAACTTCCCATCTTGGACCTTCAAGGTGCATTCCTACAAGTGACCATAGGGAAACAAATGTTGGGAATCTAATTTTGTTCAGGGAAAAGTTACCCCATGTCCCACTATTCCTCTGTAGACCCGGGGTAAAGAGACAAATTCTGGATTGAAGCCCAAATGTCCTGTACATTTCTCATACTTAGATCTCTCCATTAAAGGATGAACCTATTGATTAATTCCTCAAATTATAGAATCTTAAAGCTGAACTGGACTTTAGAATGTGAGAGCTACATAATAGAATGTCAGAATGACATTTAATGACTTATTTTACAGTTAGGAAAATGGAATCAAAAGTACCCTCCTCCCTTCCACATTACCCCCAACTGTATTACCTCCACTTTTTGCCGGAAATCTTCTCGATTGGCAATAAGATGGTTCAGAGTGTTCTGGGCATACTCCATATGGCTGCAGTATTCCCCATAGATCAGTAGCCTGAAGGGAGCAAAACACCAACAACACACACACACACACACACACACACGCACGCACGCACGCACGCACGCAAGAAATCACAAATTAAATAAGAAACACTTGACATCACCTCCATCTTCTGGCTTCCTTCAAAACTCAGCTCAAATTCCACCTTTGTTAGGAAGCCTTTCCTAGTGCCTAAGGCCTCTGAAATTACCTTCCACTTACACTGAATATGTATCTTGTACGTACATAGTTGTTTACATGTTGTCTCCCTCATTATAATGTGAAATTCTTGGGAGCAGAAACTATATTTTCACCTTTCTTTGTATCTTCAGCACTTCAGATCTAGGACATAGTAAGCATTTAACAAATGCTTGCTGACTCTTAAAATGGTATTTGTGTGAACATGCATTTATGTGTATAATAATATACACATATTTGCAATGAACCATAATGTAATGGCTTAACAATACTATTTATAGTTCTATTTTTATATGCTTAAAACTTTTCCTTATAAAAATAACTGGGCCTGGGTCAGAGAGAACCTTCAATATTTAAACCTGCCCTTCTCCCTATCCCCCAGGGCTGGGCAGCACCAGTTGTAGATGGCTTGATGCTCTCTGCCCCAGGTTCCTGGGGATCTGTCCAATATTAAGAATAACTTGACCTGAATCATGGGAGTCATTTGTGTTGAGCAAGTCTTCTTTCCTAAACAGCTTGTCATTGAGTCTCTTTTGAACCTACTCCCAATTCACCCTGATTCATTTCTCTAAGACTTGTGTCCCTGAAGACTGCAGTATATAACTTTTAAAAATACATAACTTTTCTTGCAGGGTCTTGAATGGGGATGGGACAGGTATGAAAGAGTAGATTGTCACCTTGAATCCATGTGTCAGGAATAACTAAGTTTGAGGGCTATGAGACTATTTGGTTTAGATATTTTCATTGGCATAATGCTTGCTGCCTTTCAGGCCTGACGGTGTAGGAAAGTGTTTGGTCAGCATCATATAGGTGACCACACCTTGGCACGAATCAGTTGCTGCTGTAGATTTCATGATGCCCTTCAGGGCATGGACCCTGGCTGGTGATCTGGGATCACTTTCTACATTGTTCTTCTCCCCAACCCCTTGGCCTCCTACCCCAAGGCCAAACTTCTCTACTCAGCCTTCAGAGCTTTCCACAAAGTGGTCTGACACTACTTAACCCAATCCTACTTCCCCTTCCTCCCTCCTGGAACCCCTACTCTTCTTCCTTCTAATCACGTTAACCAAAAAAATCAACAGACTTAATAATGGATCCAATTTAAAAAGATGCAATTCAATAGGAATAACTTTAAATTCTTGAAGTTGGATTCTTGATGCCCATACAACCTTAACCTATACAAGTACAAGATTAGCAAGTCGTGGAGACTTAGTTCACGTGAAGAAGAAAAAAAAAGATCTGGGGCCTTTGGGAATTTCAAGATTGATATCAACCAATAATATAACACAATAGCCATAAAAATCAACACTAATTAAACTGCATTAAGGCCATTATAGTGGCCAGAATGAGGGAGGTGACATTCCCACAGTTCTCTGCCCTGGTGAGATTCTATCTAGAGTACAGTATTTAGTTCTGGGCCACACACTTCAGGCAGGACACTGAGAAACTGTAAAACATGCAGAAGATAATGACAGGGTGTTGATAGTCCTGGGGCCTTGTCATCGATGAGTCACTTGAAAGGACTGTGACTGCTTAACCTGAAGAAGAGGAGAATGCAGAGAGGACTTGCAGGTTATATTCAAGACTCTAAAGGGCTGTCACATGGAAGAGGTTTTTCATTTCTTCTTGGAAGTCAGACCTAGGAGCAATGGGCAGAAGTGGCAAAAAAGCAGGTGAAGATTTGATAGGAAGGGAAACTTCCCACTGATGGGAGCTGTCCAGCAGTAGACAAGGCCACCTCTTGGAAGGTGGCAAGTTCCCAACTACTGGAGGTCTTCAAGCAGAGGACAAGGGGCCCCTTGTCAGAGATGCTGCACTGGGGATTCAAGATACAAATTCAGGTTGTACTATTCTTCCTTCTTTCTCCTTCCTGCATCAAGCGATACAGGTCAGGGAAGCTGTGAGCATCAGATTAGGAAGCACAAATGCATTTGCCCTTTCAGGCTCCAGGTCCTCATGTACCACATAGCTGTGCATCAGGGTATGATCCAAGGCACTGGAATTAAGAGTATTTCTGAGGTCCCCTCCAACTTTGAAATGCTGGACTCCTCACCACCATTACCACCACCTTTGCTCATTCTGTTTCTTCTTCTTGCTCAGAATGCTCTCTCCTTATTCATTCCCTTCCCCCTTCCCTCTCTTGCAGAAAACCCTCCTAACAATTCCAGCCCCCTGTACTTTTTCCTTCCTCTGAACTCTGTCAGTAACTGGAATCTACACCACATAATCAGCACTCGAGTCTATATTGTCTCCTTTTGTTTTCTTGGTTGTTTATTTTTTTTTCCTGACTAGATTGTAAGCTCCTTGTGAGCAGGGAGACCTTCCTTTTCTTCTCTTCCCTTCTATAATGCACCTAGCACATAGGAGCTCAATAAGTGCAGAAGTACTGAATGTTTCCCACTCCAGTGCTACAACTCCTCTATGGAACTGCAGTCCTAAAATGTACTTCCAAAAATGTATTCTTCCTTCTTCTCCCTCCTTGGTCAAGGGATACAGGTCAGGAAAGTTGTGAACATCAGATTAGGAAGTACAGGTGAATTTACCTTGCCAGTATCCCTTGAAGGCTCCAGGCCTTCATGTACCATGCATCTGTGCATCATAGTGTGATCCAAGGCCCTGGATGGAATCAGGAGGCATTTGATGGAATGGTTAGGCTCTGTGGACAAAGACCTGGAGGCTTTCCATCCATGCCTGTATCCTGGGAAAGCTAGGAGCAATGCCTGGGAACCCAAACAAGATGATCTCATCATTCTTTCTCCATCTCTAATTATGATTATGTGGCTTACACTAAAATTGACTTATGAAATGTAGTCTGAAGGCTGCAGCTGGTATGACTTTTTCTTGAAGCCTGTGTTTGGGGTGGGGGGAGGGTGGACCGGGTCTGAGTAACTGCTTGAGGATATTAAAAAGTTCACTTTGAGGGTTGAATGAGCCCCAAATCTCTGTGCTACATCAAAGCCCAAAGCTTTCTTCCTAAATCCATACGCAGACAATCCCTAAACAGTAACACCAGTGGTCAGTCCTAGAATACATGCTGGGATCAAAAGCCTTTCAGCTGAAAGGGAACTTCTACATTTTCCAAATAACCCTTTACTTTAGTTGAGAAAACTGAAGCCCAAAATGATTAAGTGACTTTCCTAGGGTCACACAGGTCATATAATCATAGATTTAGAGCTGGAAAGGACCTTAAAGGCCAATCTAATCCAATCTCCTCACCTTACAATTTTCATCTGGCAGTTATCTGTTGATTAAATTAACACAGAAGAACAGATCCAATGAGGTTAAGTGATTGTCCTAATGTTATACAGGTAACATCAGAAGTAGGATTTGACCCTCTGGGAATCCAGAGTCAGTGCCCTTTCATGGTACCATGCTAATTCTTCCTAAGCATTAGTAATAGCAGGGTCAAGTTTCAAACACTGGCCCTTTTGACTTCAAATCTGATGTTCTTTCCCCTCCACTCACCACTCTGCCTCTAGTGATGTCATCATTTCACACACAAGTGTGTAGGGTTGCTTGAGGGCATGGGTGGCATTTCTTGAGAGGCATTTCCTAGCTCTCTACAAATACACAGCACACACTGTGCATGCAAGGAAGAAACTGCTCCTTCTGCCCAGCACTTCTCACTTGCTGTCATATCTAGCTAGGCTTGACTTTGAAGAAGCCACTGTGTGGCAGGAGAATGCAAAAAGTCAACAGGAAAAGAGTTGGCAAGAAAAGATCATGTCTTGTCTAAAACTATTTAGTGAAATACAAACTGCTTCACAATATGGTGGCAATGTACAATGTCATCATCACTGCTTGAACCTGCTTTTCACAGCTGTGCAGGAGGCTCTGCCCAGGAGCTGCCTAGGACAAGAATCTGACCCTTGGCTTTAGCTCAGGCAAATACACTATTAAACTGGGAATTTTGATGCAGAGGTTGATTAAAAAAAAAAAAAACACCATACACTCAAAATTCTGCAAATTGGGAGGATTCTTCCTTTCAGAGCATAAGCAAAAGTTTTAGTGGCTTCTCATGTGGGGAATGGGGGTGGGGGGTGGGGAGGACTTAAGCAGCTGCCAGCCCAGGAAAAGTCCTTTACTCCAGATTCCCCACCCTCTGCCACTGGCACTGGCACACCAAACAGCATCCAGTTTGCTGCCTGTCTCTCTAATGCCCAGATGGCTTTATCTGGGCAGACCAAACCAAATCAGATATTAAATGTCACTGAGCCTCCCATTCCTATCTCTCTGTTACTCAGGAAATCTGGAAACCTTCAAGGCAAGAAAGGTGCAGGGGGATTTACAGAACTCTTCCAAATCTTAGGAAAACTGGTACAACCACCCTGCAACCTGCCAGTTCTCCCAGTTAAAAAGGCCCTGTCAATACTCCAAGGTACACCCCCACTTCCCGTTGAGAAAGGGAATTCCTAAAAGACACCGTGACGAAAACCCTAACCTTGACCATAAGGAAAGCTGGATTTTGGAGAAAAGCAATGAAAGAAACTAGTAACGGAAGGACTTTCCAAATCACTTTTGCATCTCTCATCTCATTTTGTCCCCACTGTATTGTGTTAGGTTGACTCCCATTACTCTAATTTTATAATCTGATGTATCTATAGTACAGGTAACTCATTCGCTATTACAAAACGCAACCTATCCAGGCTTTCTCATCTACTCTAGAGATTCTTCTCCATAGAATCTTCCCTAAATCTTCCATAACACTCTGGGGATATGGTCCTGTCTGACTGACTCCTACTCCATAGTCAGCCCACCTCCTTTTTGTCTTACTCACAGTTGAGTAGCAGAAGGTTAGAGCACTCAGATTGCCAACC